AAATACTGATCGGACGCTGGCTCCGGTGCGACCGAACGCTGGCTCAGGGTCCGGTCAGTTCATTTGACTAAGGTGATTGCATCTGGGTTGACCGGACGCTGAGAGGTCAAGTGACCGGACGCTGAGAGGCAGCGTCTGGTCGACTCTAGTAAGGTTCTAGAGAGGGAAAATCATGACCGGACGCATTCGGTCAGTGCTAATCGGACGCTGCCCAGCGTCCGGTGACACTGTAAACACTAGAGTTCAGGGTGTACTGACCGGAGCGTCCGGTCAATATGACCGGAGCGTCCAGTCACCCCGCAGAGGCACATAACGGTTCGTTTTTTAGCCCATGTTATAAATACTCCCTCCACTCGTGTGTGGGGGTACTTTTGCTCATTCTAACAGCTGAGAAACACCTTAGAGAGTGCCAAAAAGAGCAAGATCATAGTGAGGTGATTGAGATTTGAGAATCCCAAAGAGAGCCCTCATTAGTGAGATCAAGAGTAGCAAAGTGTGCATCCACCCTTCTCATTAGGCTTGTCGCGGTCAAGTGAGAGTTCGTGCTTGTTACTCTTGGTGATCGCCATCACCTAGACAGCTTGGTGATGATTGGGAGCTTGGTGATCATTTGGAGAGCTTGTGGATGACCCAACTTAAGTTGTGAGCGGTTGTGAGTGATTCACCGTGACGGAGTGTCGAAGAATCAACCCGTAGAGGGCACTTGATCCTTGCGTGGATCAAGGGGGAGCTACACCCTTGCGCGGGTGCTCCAACGAGGACTAGTGGGGAGTGGCGACTCTCCAATACCTCGGCAAAACATCGCCGCGTTTTCTCTCCTCTCTTTACTTTGAGCAATTCAATTCTTGTTTTTACATTCATAGAATTGTCATGCTAGAGTAGGATTGGAACTTAGGTTGCAAGTCTTTTGTGCGGTAGAATAACTAGAAACACTTTCTAGGCAGAAGGGGTTAATTGGGCAAACCATATGATTTAATTATTGCAAAAAAATTTAGAATTAGCCGAATTCACCCCCCCTCTTGGGCATCTTGATCCTTTCAAGTACAATGGTGTGTGATGCCTTGGGCTTTGATGAGTACAATGGTGTGGAGTTCATGAAGTTGAAAAGGCTAGTGAAAGATATGAAAGACCCCACTCTTTCTGAGTTGCAAGGAGAGGTATACAAAGTTGTCATGTTCAATAAAGCTTCTACAATTGAAGGCAACACACCATTCGACTGATAGGAGCTTCAAAGAATTGCTACATCTGTTAAGGTACATACTTCCAAAGGGGAATGAGAGCCTAATACTACATGTGAGGCCTAGCAGATTGTTTGTCCAATGGGATTGAAGGTCAAGAAAATTAATGGTTGCATGAATGACTACACCCTATTTTGTGGTGATAATGCAGATCTAACTGAATGCCTCGAGTGTGGAAGTTGTTGATGCAAACGATGAAATGACGGGGGGATGAGGAGATGTGCCATGGAGCTCCTCAGAAGGTTACATGTTACCTGAAGAATTTGTTTGCAACCTGCAAGGATACATAACTGGTGAGTTATCACAAAGAGGGATGGAAGATTAATTATTATTTATGGCACTGAACAGATGCTATTCATGTCGTTGTCATTGATTATTTAAAGTATGGACACTTTTCTGCTAAGCCAAGGAATATTTGGTTTGTACTGAGAATAGATGGCATGAACCCATTGTGTCACATGAGTAGCTCACATAGTGTATGACATGTGATGTTGTCTATCTACAACCTTCCACTCTAGTGGTGTAACAAGAGGAGATACATGATGATTGATGATATCTGTTTTGATATCTATTCTGCATTAGCTAGGTAATAACATTAATGTGTATCAGTGGCCGCTTGTGGATGACCTAAAGACACTTTGATCAGACAGAGTTAAGGTGTACGATGGGTTTAAGAGAGAGTTGTTCAAGTTACGTGCCATATTGTTAAGCACCATCACTGATATTCTAGTACACCATAGCTTATCCGTGCAGTGTAAAGGGGAGAAAAAATTGCTTTCGATGCTTGGATGACACCAAGACTATTTGGCTACGGGTTCATTTAAGGCATCAATGTTTTCACAAGTGGATTGACTTAGCGTTCACCATCGATACCATGCTCACAAGAAAGAATGTTTGTGTTAGTCTACTTAGGCCACTCATGAACGACAAGTGGAAAACCAATGACCATACAAAAAGCATGAGCCAGGCTTGGAGGAAATATGCATAAGGATTGAGCTCTGCCCCGATAGTACCACTACCTAACTACCAGCATGTGTCACAAATCTAACCCGACAAGAGAAGCACGAATTGTGTGAGTTCTTTTGTAATGTGAAAGTTCCCTCTAGATACTCATTGAACATAAAAAACTTATGGCAGCGAGAGAGAACAAAATGTTGCCCATGAAGACTTATGATTGCGATGTCATGTCCACAACAATGCTTGCAGTTGGTATCACGAACATATTGCTAAAAAATGTGAATGGCAATCATGAGCCTCTACTTCTTCTTTAATGGAATATCTTAGAAGGTCCTTAATGAGAGATCATTTGATGATATTGAAAAGAACATATTTGAGATATTGTGTCTTATATAGGCATTTTTTGTTGCTTAGCACTTTGAGCCCTTGGCTAACCCTAAAAATAGATGTGGTGGAAGTAATGGTTGCCTTTCATAGACACTTCTCTTATTTATAGGGCTATTGCACATTTCCAATAATTCCCCTACACTTAAACTTCAACCATTTAGGCACTGGGCCCAAAATAATGGTCAGATTGGTCCTCCATGCATTGGAGGGCCATGAACCCTTCATGAAGTCCCTATGTCTTGACATAAGCTCTCCAATGACGTCATGTGCTGCTCCGAGATCCTCCTTTGGTTGAGTCCAAACCTAGAAACCACTCTTCCCATGTGGTTTTGAGGCTGAAACTGTCAAACCCTCCAGGGCCACGTAGCTATTATACAACTCCTCCAATGTCAACGTGTGCCCTCTATGTCCTCAGCCTAATGGACCACCAAGTTCTCATGACACCTTGCCTTACTTAGTCCAACCTTAGCAATGACTTCAGTCAACGTTGTCAGCTATCTCTTATCGAAATGCCATGTGCTAGATATCCTTGTCCGTTCTTTGGTCTCTTGGTCCCTCGGTCCAAGCCTCCACATTCAAACTTCACCGTCCAAATGGTCCATCGACTAGAACCCTCGCTCGACCTTCTCCATTTCTATCAACCACCTTCATGCAGTCAACACTAGCATATTCACAAGCCAAGAGACACATTACATGTCACACACTAACTCGACGCCTCGATTAGTCCAAAACGCGCTAAAGCAAAGATCGATGATCTCACCTTGACAATCACTCGTCATCGACATGGGCACATTTCCACCATGTCATCTCAATATATTAATACATAACTAGTAAGGGGCCCTTCCTTAGAGCATCCTTAAGAGCCTCACTTAAATTCATTCTCTATATCTTTCCACCCTCCAAGAACTTCTTTATATTTTGGGTGGACTCTAGAGAGTTAACTTCGCTCTCTGTCTTTGGCTAGCGAGAAATTTGAAATAGAGGATGACTATATTTGGAGATCTGAGAGCATCTCCAAGAGTGTTTCTTAAACTCACTCTCCAAATCATCGTTAAGAGAGTCATTTGAATAAAATCGCTCTCTATATCTTTCCACCCTCCAAGAACTTATTTATATTTTGTGCTTACTTTAGAGAGCAAATCCCGCTCTCGATTCTTGGCTAGCGAGAAATCTAAAATAGATGATGACAATATTTAGAGATACAGTTAAATAAGCCGTTGGAGAGCATTTTTCCACCAAAATCTATAGAAAGGTTGTTGGAGTTGCTCTAATTAATAAAGTTGTTGGATGATATTTTCACCAAAATCTCTACTCCCTCCGTCCCAAAATAATTCACGTTATAAGTTTGGGCACGAGAACTTTTGAGAAGTGAGAAAGTTGTGGTGCACAGAAAGCGAGGAGAGAGATAGAGAGATTGAAATAAAGATGTATCAGGAAAAAGAGAAAGGTTTATTGGCAAAGGAGAAAGATGTGCATTGAAATGTTATAAGGTTAAGTATTTTGGGACAAATTTAAATCCTATGAGGTCATCTTTTTTGGGACGGAGGGAGTATTAGAGAGTATTCTTGAAGGTCATGGAATCCGCGAAGCGGAAGCAGTCCTGTCGGCCAGCGTCTGATCGGCTAGCTCCGACCGAACGATGAGGATGAAGGTGGCTAACCAGCGACACGTGTCATCACTTGAGCGGAGGACGATGGCACCAGCGGAGGATCGCAGTAATGGCGCGCCAGGGGCGTAGCGACTTGACTTCCACTCGACGAATCTGGCTGTTTCATGAGAGAATGTCGGGAAGTAGGGATGCGCCGTGGTTGTAGTTTTTCCTCTTTGATTGTGTGTTCTCCTCTTTGTTAATGTGTGAGTCTAAATGCTCTTATATCCTTTTGGCTATGTATATCCTTCGTGGATATAGGATTAATAAATCCATTATCTAAAAAATTAACAGGTTATTGGAGTTGCTCTCATCATTTGAAAAAAGAAAGATGTATCAGAGGTATCTGCATGGCGTAACAGCTTGCGTAAGAACAGTATGAGATGAAGTCTCATGCAAAAAATGACTTTGGCTGCCGTTGCTTGAACTCGAATAGGTGCGGATTCTCAGTTTCTCACACACTGAATATATAGCGCCTGCAACAAAATCGTAGATCGTCAGTGTGTTTTGGTTGGGATCCAATTTAGCAGGTTATAATTGTTAAGATAAGATGTCAAATAAGAAGGCCAAGAATAATCCAACTACCAAATAAAATCATATAAAAATGTTTATATGTTGGGCATCCATTTGGCCCCAACACTAAAGACTCGACAGACTGTTCGACGACCATAACACACTGCTAGCACACACCATACATCAGATCATCCCTGAGTTGGTGGCAGTGGCACCGCACCTTGACTCTAGACGATCACAGCTGCTGGCTGCTGCTCCTAGTACCGCCGCTGCAGGGGTAGGCGGCTGCTGCTGTTGGTGGCGGCGGCGCGGCCACAGAGGAGCGCGTTGTCCGGGATGGGCAGCTCGTCGCGGAACGAGTGCGACGGCGTGTACATCCGGAGGTAGAACTGCTGGCCCAGGTACCTGCGCGCCCACACCTCCGACCTCATGTTCCACATGCCCACGTTGTCCAGCGCGATCAGAACTGCCGTCCACCCTCTTGGGTACACCTGCACGGTCACGGAGCAACGAGTAAGCCCAGCCATGTCACAGCCTATGCCATTATTCAGCAAGCCTGGAAATGTATGGAACAAAAAGAATATCTCACTTGCACGGTGCAGCGCGAGACAGCATCCACAAGGTTGTAGCCGTCCCTGCTCTTCTCGCTCCACGTCCCCACGTCCATCCTATACATGAGAATCTACACGGACAAAAATGCCACAGATCAGATGCAGAGCAAAGCTAATTTTGTTCGTTGCATGTCATGTCACGTGTGGAGCCTAGCATGCAGTACCCGACGACGAAGACGCTGTAGCCGTCGAGGTGCCAGGTCTGGACGCAGTCCTCGCCGTTGTCCAGCACGACCTCGACGAAGGAGCGGCGGTCCGAGTCCATGACCGCCGTCTCGTTCTGCACCTCCTCCGCGGCGCCGGTACCGTTGGCCGGCGGCGGCGCGTCGGGGATGCCACCGAGCCGGAACACGCCGCTGATGTTGTAGTAATCCGCCAGCTTAAGCGGCGTGTCGGCCTCCGCGAACGAGACGCCGTTCACCGCGTACCGGCGCTTGCCGTCGACCAGCCGGCCGAGCTGGCCAACCGGATGGTGCGCGTCACGTTGATGGAGCCGTAGTGGTACGAGCCCTGGGGGTTCGGCCTTGGCCCGCTCGCCGTCAGGTTCGTTCTGCAACGATCCAATTTTCAGATTCAGAATACATACAAATCCACCTGCGATCGCCGTCCACTCGCAGAGCTGAACGGTCAAGATGAGTTCACGTGTGTATACCTGATGGAGCGAGCCTGGTTGAGCGAGAAGTCAACGTCGCTGGGCCTAGCGGACAGTGGCCCGGAAGCAGCGCCACTTGACCTGGCGTAGCGGACGACGGCGGTCGAGAGGAGGGTGGCGTTAGTGAAGCGGGTGGAGACGACGATGTGGTAGTCCTTGGCGGGGCGGTCCGCGGTGAAGAGCACGGAGAGCGACTGGCCGACGTGGACGTCGAGGGAGCTGTAGGTGTTCTGCACCGTGTGCGTACCCTCCACCTCGACGAGCGTCATGTTGTGCTCTTGGATCCGGATGTTCAGTGTGTTCTGCAGGCCAACATTTGAGATGCGTAGCCTGTATGTCTTTCCTGCATAGAGGAACACGAAAAACAAAGAAACAACCCATAGTATTCCTCATAATAGAGAGGAAGTATAGATTTCTAATAAAACTAAGCCTACAAAGTAGCTCAAATCTTATAACAGAGGTCAAATGTCACCTTGCTCAACGGCGAAAGCTACACCGTCCGCACTACCCTTGCCGTTGATCAAGATGCCATCAGGGGGAGGCAATTCCTTTTCACTGTCCAGCATATCTTGCAGAGACTGTATTAAAGAAACAAAAAGATCACCATCAGAGAATGAACTAGTTCAGGCGTTATTTCTGCAGAAGCCTAAGAAGCCATCGATCATTTGGTACTATACCTTATGATTGGTGGCGTACCAGTCACCGATGAGCACCGTGTACTCGTCGGCCGGCGGGGGGAACGGGATGGGAACCACTGTTCGGCTGTAGATGCGGATAGCGCCGAAGCCACCGGCGGCCTTATGGAAGGCCAGCGATGGGAAGTAGTAGAAGCTGCCGATTTGGTCCTTGGCCTGCATGCGATACGTGAAGTTCTGGCCGGGCGGGATTGTGCAGTTGGTGCCAGAAACGCCATCCTGCCATGAATTCTTGCATTGCTGCAAACCACTACTGCAATTTCGTAACAATTTATAAAACTTACTTAGGAAATCAGTTAAGATTCAGTTAACCCACTAGTAAATGGATTAAATATTTTCCTCACTAACTTTTCAATATTAATCAGTTAAAAAAAGCGCTGTGTGGGGGAATACTCTGCAATTTAATCAACACGTATCAAATCAGTTAACATTTTCGGTTGTAAAAGCATATAAATTAACCAAGAATCAAATGGACACGATATACCTCTAAAATTTTATTGACTTGCAAAACTCTTGAAAAAAGAAAAACACTGCACATATCTGCATAAATAAAACTCTTGATAAAGAGAAACACTCTGCATACACATATCTGCATTCATTACGCTCTAGCTAAACCCGTTTCCAACAATTTGTATCCATCCACATTTTATCCTCAATGTCTGCCCATTATATTATATCCATGAATACCCATATGGCTTTACAAGAAGAATCAATCTGCATCCATCCACACTTTATCTTAATGGCTGCCGACTATTTTATATGGACAAGATAAGCTCTAAGTTCATATGGGTTGACAGAAGAGAGATTCATTAAAGTGCCTAAACAACCAATACCACACATGTATGATGCGATGCATCCAGCAAAGCCACAATTTAGCCATTAACTTTTTTTTTTGACAACATCATGCTTGCAATTGGCCCATTGTTTAAAAAAAAAAAAATACACCAAGACATACTGTCCACCTTTAGAGGAATAAAACCCTCTGGGATCCACAAAAAAATGAAAAAACAAATAAAAAAAAAAAAACACCCCAGTTGTGATGTACTGCTTTAGAGGAATAATATACTACATCACAACAGGGGTAAGTTGTTCCCAAAAACCGAGCGATCTGATCAGAGCCATCCTCCCCGGTGAAGTGGTGGTCAAGTATCAGATGAGGGATTAACAAGTGACCCTCGGAGCAACCCATCCCCAAAAAAGTGGATATCATCCTCCCAGCAGGGATTTTAGAGGGATCCTACTGACTTAGGAAGCAGGCAAGCAAACCATCTTTCTGCTAGGATAGAAGAAAACAGGGCCGGGCAAAGCCAAAGCCGTAGAATTAGGCCTTCTCCCGCAAAGCTAACTACTAAGTGCTAATCTTGAAAGCCTTTTGTCACCATTATGTATGAACGAAAGCTCGAAGAAATCATGTGAAAGGAAGCAGTCGAGAAGGAAGGTTAAAGAAAGCACTCTGAAGATAGGGTCAAGCAGGAAAGTAGAAGTTCTAACCAGAATACGCTTTAGCCAACTAAAACGCATAGCCCTCATAGCGAGCATGTTGAATGCGTCTCAAATCTGCCAAGCGCTTATAAAAGGGAACTTAATGTACAACAAATGAATAAATCAGGTAGCGTAACAAAACTGTAAAGACCATACCATGAGAGCAAGAACGGATCAGACAAATTGTTGCGGACGTTAATAATCACGTTCTCGTTTGTTTAAGACTCAATCTTCGGTCCTGGGAATTGCCCGTTGATAAGGATTACCTATAAACATAGAAAATCAATCTATAATTTTTGCATAAAAGATAAGATATCAATGCAAAAAAAAAAGTTTAAAAATAGACTAACTCAATAGGGAATAATCTGCACCTGTTGTGAAATACCAAGAGGACTGATATTGCCATACGTAATGTCCCAATCCAAAAACTGGTACGGACCTTCCTCCCTCGCCGCTGAGACGAACAAGAAGCAAATGCATACGAAGAAAATAATAAATCTCATCTTGCTCAGCGCTAGGTTAATGTCTGACGCAAACACTGCAGCACGCTGGCCGGAACCCTAGTTCGGCACGGCAGTGGAGGCACTGCAGCACCGGAGCCCTGCCGCACACGCACGGAGCCGCCGAGCCCTGCCGCACGCCGAGACTGTAGGCGCCGGCTAATTTAGATTAGATTTTTTTTGGCATTCTGTTTGTTGTACGCGCGGAGTACTGGGACTGCAGCTGCAGCCTCTTCGATCTATATCTGTCCACGGGACCGCCGTCCCGGCGGCGAAAAAGACAGTACCGACGCGCGGGGTATGGCGCATGCGGCATCGGAAGGTGTCGTCAGCGGCGGTGGACTAGGGCATCTCGCAGCTAGCCGTCCCCGAAGTCGGCAGGACCAGAGCACGCCGCAATCGGGATCGGAAGCTCTGGTCGACGCCGTCGGCAAATCCATTGTGACACAGCCACATAGCGGAAGGGATGGCCGGAAGTCACGTATTGTCGTTGTAGATAGCGGTGCCTGTTGTCCACGTGGATTGGAGTGCACCAACAGGCCTTAAAGGTTAGCTATATATGGGTTTTTAGTGATTTTTTCTCCAGTTAGTCGTATTGTCAATGTAGATAGCGTGCCCGCAATCCATGTAGATTGGAATGCACCCAAACAAGTCTTAAGAGTTGACTGTGGAGTTTTAGTTACTTTTTCTCCAATTTACCGGCCGTAGTTGCCCAAGGGATTTTTATTGATTCCATTCCACATCTTGCAATTAGCCACATCTATACACATGGATTTAGTGATGGCTCATCTTGTAACTAGCCTCCAGCTACTAGACATATCTAGCCCGTTGGATTTTAGTAATATTTGCAGCTTGCAACTGGACGCTCATAGGCCTTTAATTTGCACAGCGTCATCAATCATGTCTCAAACGTAGCAAGGCCTTTTAGTAAGGGTAATGTTGGCTGCTGCTGCATGTGCTGTTGCTGACGTGGCAGCTACTGGTTGGATGTCTTGTGCACTGTTGCTGTTGGATGGCTGCAGTGCTGCAGTTGCAGCCCACCGCCGAACAGGTACAGGCAAAAGCTTGAATTGTTCAAACAAATTCAGGCTATTAAGCCCAATTAAAAATATTGGCCCAATTGAGGAAACCAACAGTCATGTACGTCTCCTCTTCACGTCGTTGGGCATTGGCGCTGCGACTCTATCTCTTCGATTTGATCGGTAATCCGCGGATCGCTTAGTGACTCCGCGCCCTCTCCTGCGATGCAAAGCTGCGAATCGGCCAATGGATACCGGGCCACGCGCCCACGCCATCGTCGCTCACGCTCTGTTGTTCCTGTTCAGTGGCACTTCGCCACTTCGGCCGTTACAGGAGAGCTGTGCGGAGCAAGAGTCCAGGAAGTGGTGGAAGGATAATGCACTCGTGTCATTGCACTAACACCCTATTGGTCAAATTAGTTTGTTTGTTTTTGTTGTTTTCTCCATTCACAAATCATCTCTTAAAGGTTGGCTAATTCTAAAAGACTAAATCAAACAAATGACATGTTATGATGTTACCCACGGATTCTATGGTAGTTTAGATCGAGAAGAGCATGATATTGTTAAATATTATGATCTAGTTGAGCTAAATTCAAATTAGTTGAGATGTAACTGAAGTACATTTCTTTTGTATTACCGAATATACTATATATACACGTTATGATTTTAATCAATATATATTACATATATTCATATTTATTTTGCCATTCCATGATTATTATTATTATTTTGATACTCGGCGGTTTCATGGGTTGGCCCCCCTTATGTCTGGATCCTAGCTCCGCCCATGACGATGAGCATCAATTTGGTTTCAATTTGATGAACATGACCACAGGTGGTGGCACTGGAACATGCATGCTGTAAACAATGAGGTTTGAGTGTTGATGAAAGGACCAGAATAGGCAGCGGTTCAGACGTGGCTGGTGCAGCCAGGGATGCCTATGGTGGAGGCAGAAAAGGTGACATATTCTGGAAGCATTTGTCTTTATTTTTATTTTATTTCTTGCAATTCCAAGGACATAGTTACATTTCAGAATTAAAATGTTTTTGTTTACGACATTTTGGGACAGAAGGGGTTCAAACAGGCCCCATGGAGATTATTTGTGCCATCCATTGCGTTTCCGTAAGGTGGGTCCATTGCATGAAAAAAATAAAATGTGTTGATCCAGTGCTATGCTAACAACTCCAAGAGATTACCAAAAATGTTTTCTAGGATTTTTTGTTTAGCTATTCTCTAGAATAAAACCCTCGAAAAAAACTAGACTAATGCTACAACCTGTAAAAATTGCCCTTCATCATATTCGAACCTGCCACCTGCAAGTAATTAGATTTCGACACCCCTTTATAGTTTATAGTACACCTTTCCTAATACTCAAGATAAATTCAAAAGAATTCATAAAAAAAATGATGCTTCCAAATTTATGCCCTTTTTGCCGTAGTCTTCATATGGTGTATGAAATTAGGTTATCACCATTTTTCAATTTGGATCTTTCATCAAAATAATTGTTAAAAAATTAGGCAATTTCAGTACCAGTTTAATCTAGAAAAATATTATCAAAATGTTGATGATATCAGATATGTGCACGTGTGATCTAAGTGTCACAAACATGTAGACGATACTAATTATCGGGATTTTAATCGCTGAAAATAGGGGATGAACTATAACATACCCCGCGGCACCAGAACCGGTTGCGCTAGTCGACATAGCGCCTGTTGGAATAGTCGTCCCACTCGATGTAGTGCAGAGAGGATGCAGTGCCGATCTCCCGCTGCCGCCACGAACGCCGAGAAGAAGATGAGGTTGTCATACGATCGAGCAGTCGCGTAGTCGCCGGTTTCGGAGGCCTGCTCTCTCTATTCTTGTGCGCACAGGAACCGGGACGGGGATGGTAGATAGCAGCACAACAGCAGCGCGACTGTGTTCTGGCTATGTGTTCTCAACTCTCGCGAACAAGAGAAGGAGTGCCCCTTTTATGCAGCAACAAAGAAAGACGAAAGTGAAGAGACGAGTGCATGAAAAGGTAATGTCCATCATGGCAGAATCCGTTACCAGTAACTCATGAAAATGACAAATCAATTGTCAGTTATTAGTAACGGAAACCACTAAGACATACATCATAAACCACTCACATAATAGTTATCATGCACATAGAACTCATCAAACCGTAAGTTACACTGCATAAAGCACCCAACAAATCACACCTAGCATTAACTTTAATCTTGAAATTTTCTTTAATTTAATTGCTGAATAAATTGGACAAACCCAATTAAATCCAACAATAATCATTGAAATACTTTGTAAATCTTATTAGACTTTTGTTTCTATTATCACTCATTCACCCAAACCCACGATATGATTAGATGCATTTTCAGGTAGTCATCGGAGATCCTGTCGTGACAGGTCAAGAAAGGGCAGTCACCAATGGCACGACGACGGCCATGGGGAAAAAGGTAGTCCATAGAGCATTGAAATACGCGCATGATTAGAGGGAGCAAACAAGAGGGATTTCTCCTTTTAATATTAGACTAGCAAAAGTGCCCTTACGTTGCAACAGGTTGTTTTTTCACTCTTAAGTTTTTAACACCTTCCTCACTGTTGGTATATATTAACACATACAGAATAATCTACATGCGCACGGATATTATACCGATGTAGCACTTCATCAAAAGTATCCCGGTTTAATATCGAACTCAAGAAAACGTGTGTGAGAATAACTAAATCTAACTTAACCCAACTTCACAATTAAGACTAGATAATAGGAGTATAAAGGAGATCACAAAGGTCTTCTAGTTCTAACTTCGGTAAGCTTTGTCTTCTATTGCTCAATTCTAGAGATATTACTAAAGAAAACACAGACAAAATATGTTTCCTATAGCAACAAGGTCCTGCTAGGCCTACTAACGGGAGGTGAACTACAAAAGATTCAACGAGGCTATAAGAGTCATCCTCGCGAGCTACCTTTGATCTAGAAAGTAGGATACATCCACGAGTAACCGAGTCTAAGCACCACCCTTACACTATGAATACTACTTTAACTCAGGAGCTACAAGGATTAAAGTACTTAAAAAAGAGTTGCAAACCTTAAGAATAATATGAACAAGATGCTTACTTGAATTAGAAGCCGATTACCAGAGAAATCTCAGAAGCAAGCTCATGAAGAACTTGATTCTACCAGGGTACAAGTCATAGAGAGAGCACTAACAGGCCAAAACTCCTCCAAAACTCTTCCCTCTCACTCTATCTCTCTATCTCTAATACAAGACTAGATTCTATCGATGACTAATCTTCTCTTGATTGCTAGCTCTGATCCTAATGGAAATTTGAATTAGGGTTTCTGGTCTTCAGGCTCTCAGGATCAAATGCATGGCTTTCTTCTGGAGGGGAGTATAGACAGATATATATATATAGGTCTCTTCAAGCATCTTAGATCATCGGATCAAACTGACTTAAAAGGACGACGTAGATGTGATCCTAGAGGCGGTGGACAACCGACATAGCAACGGGAGGCTGATAGGAGGGGTCCATAGGCCGGCCGGCCAAGAGGTGGGGTCGGTCGGCCCCACATGGCAGTGGCTCAGGCCCTGCCTCGGTGGAGTACCCTCTGGAGTCTTCCCACGTAGGTACCGTCGCGAAATAAACGTGATTTCCTTTGACGAATAGGTCCTCTTTGGAGGTTTTCTGATTAAATCATACTGAAAACACAGATTCACCAAAACTTATGGAACTTGTCAGTTAAAACCCCTAAGTTTATGTTGATGATCCATTTTAGTCATTTATGCAAGGTGTATTGATGGTTTGTGATTAACATTAACTACCGTCAACACTCACAATCATAGTTATGTCGTCTTTGAATCCGTCGACGACAATATGTATCGATTTCCTCGACGACGATATATATTGATACCTTTAAAGCATCTTACAAACACACGGGTTACGCCCTGTTTTTCAGCACTACTTCAGCAGTATTTTTCATCAAAGCCCTTGTTTAGTTCACGAAATTTGGATTTTAGGGTTACTGTAGCACATTCGTTTTTATTTGGTAAATAGTGTTCAAACATGGACTAATTAGGCTCAAAACGTTCGTCTCGTAATTTTCCACCAAACTGTGCAATTAGTTTTTCTTTTCGTCTACATTTAATGCTCCATGCACGGGCCGTAAACATTCGATGTGACAGGTACTGTACCAACTTTTTGGAAGTTGGGGTGAAACTAAACAAGGCGAAAGGAACAATATTTTCCTCTTACAATAAATCAGCATCAGCAGCAGCCAAATTTCAGCGAAACGAAGTCGTCCATCTTCATTGGAATAGTTGTGCACGGGCCACGGGTGGTTCTCCATTTCACGGGGCGCGTGCGACCGACGTGGCCTAGAGAGTCCAGGGCTCTCGGCGCATGCATATCTGGCGGGGCTCGGATCGGGTTGCGCGGCGTGGTGAGGGTGCAAAGCCAACAAGGCGCGGGCATGGTGCAGTGCACAGGGCCGACATAACAGACTTTAAGGAGCGTGTGCGAAGGCGGGTGGGGCGCACTGATGGTGAAACGCGCGAGGCCAACGAGCTGGGCCCGTGTTTAGGCTCGGGGAAAAAATTGAGACGAAGAAAAAATGAAAGGAACCGTGGACTGTTTGAAAAAACCAGTAAAACACGATGGAGTCGAGTGACGCGGGGAACAAACCGAGTTTGATAGAAGATGCAAGAAGAAAATTATTACGATATAATTTTTGGCTCTTTAATATTATAAGGGGTGTGTGTGTCCATATATATATATATATATATTCATTATTATATTGTTAGTCGTCTTTCTATTTCTATTTTCATAGCTATTACTTGAACATGGAAAAAGGAAAAAAAAAACATGAGAAATCCAAACACGAGTTTGTAACAAAGAAATATAGGAACCGACCATAGGGGAAAGGGAGAACAAAAAATATAAAAAAGAGAGAACGTGTGCTCTCTGCTCTATACGGGACCAGCCAATAAATAGGAAAAAGAACATGCTCTCTTGAATATATTCATTATTGTTATATTGTTATTTGTCTTTCTATTTCTATTTTCATATTTATTACTTGAACATGGGAAAAGGGAAAAAAATCATGAGAAATCTAAACACGAGTTTGTAATCAAGAAATAGAGGAACCGACCTGACAAAAAACGATAAGGGAAAGGGAGAAAATATATATAAAAAAGAGAGAACGTGTGCTCTCACCTCTATATGGGGCCAGCCAATAAATAGGAAAAATAAAAACGTGCACTTGAAGGGGGAAAAATCGGAACGT